ACCCTGTTATTATAATTACATCCCATTTATTATTTCTTAAAGTCCATTTTCTTGTTAAGCCTAATGCATACCTCCAAGGAAAGTTTGCAGCCCAGCGGGACGGAGAATAACAAGTTGACCCGGATATTGTGTACAACTGTCGGCCCAGTTGCATTGCTGATGTTAAAAAAAGGCATGTGTAGTATAGTACAACCTAACATGGCTACTCATCCCACATTCACCGACGCTGGAAAGGCCCAAACAAGGCTTCTGTACAATTTTTTGAAGTCACTAAGCTCAATTAATAACTTAAGAAAAAAGTTAGATTATAGTGGAACGTAATTAAAAGTTGTCACGAGCAAAAAAATAATTCAACGGGTCCCACTTGTACGTGTGTGTGTCTCTCTCTCTCTGTGTGTGTGTGGGAGAGAGAGAGAGAGATAAAGAGAGAGAGACCCATCGGTCGATGCTTGTAAATACATCTTTCAGCCATATGCATTGTTGATGCTCAGTAAAAACTTATATAGTTGACACAATCATATAGAACATCATAGCACACTGAACTTGCATACAAAAATTTCACGCAGGCGACACAATCAGGATGGAAGCAGTGGATCACTACGGGTAGGGCTATGTTGAAACCAACGGACTCATACATAACGGTTCATCGTCTTTATCAATGACGGGGAAATATCTTGAATGTTGTGCAAAGAAAAAAGACAGACAACACAATAAGTTCTGATAGCATATTAGGTTGACGTACATCCCTTTCTAAAAACAGTTCATGTACAAAATTAGAACAGGTCACAGTCAAATGTACTGGCACATTAGTGCTTCACACACATAGCTCGGATTTAACTAGTATCTGACAAGATCTAGTTGTTACCTCAAATTAGAGCACATCCAGGCAGCCATCCCTGCCTCTTCTCCCGAAGAAGCAGTGGCCTCCGCCGCGCGATGGAGTAGGCCATGTGCCATCCATCGTTCACAGCATCCTGTAATGGACGTCGTCGAAGGACCCTGGCACCAGCGGTGGCCGGAGGACTTCGATTGATGGATTGACCACTTCTTCGACATGCACGAACACTCAATACAGGTACATCCCTAACGTGGTCCACGACGGGCTTGGTGGCGACGAATAGTACAACCCCGGTTCCTGCACCGGTATCTCAACACCAATCACCTTCGGTATGGTGGACGACTTCTTCATCCATGTCATAACCCTCAGAGCCCAGCTGGTTGGAGGAACAAACATACTTACGAGCTCACCTCCAAGGTCGTTGATAAGCTCAGTCATGAACTCACTGTTCTAAGCACGTCAAGGCATGCTGTGGAAGGTAAGCTTTGTTAAAAACTCGAGCTCAGAGGGCACCGAGCCCCATCTTGGGTGCCACCAATCAAATCTCACCAGCGCGCCAT